GCTGACGCATAATCCTAACTTCTAGCTCAAAGAGATTCTGACATTCAGATGAACTTTTGCGAGGTCTCTTTACAGCAACCGTGGTGTCAAATAACTCTCCTTTCCAAACTTCTCCAAAGGCCCCTTTCCCAACAACCTCGTCTAGCCGAACCTGCCCGCAACAATTTCAATTTTAATTTGATCAGGGACACGTGACAAAGAATCAATCAATTACAGTGCTCGTTTTGTTGAGTGAAAGTCTAGTTATTTAGCATCACTATTTGTAGCGTTCATGAAGGTGAAGACTGCCTCATCCAAAATGATTGTCTGAAATTCCAAGTTCAAAATCATATGGTTTTGATGGGTAAATTTAGAAAAAGAAATTAAATAGCATACTTTTAATTTTCCTAGCAGATCGGCATATTCTATTTGCATCCTCATTCTCTTTCTCTTCGTCATCTGCAGAAAAGCAAATCATAGGTTAATATGGCAAGATAAAATTCTACTAGCAAGTTTTATTGCTGCTTCATTTACATTAATTTGTAATTAATTCTGGGTTTAATACTTTGAATCCTAAGAGTGGCTGTTTTTGGTGCCCAATGAAGCAGCATGACCACTCATTCACAATGCACTTAAAACGAAAACTTAAGGTTCCAATCATGTGTTATTGATTAGTTCAAGTGCATATGCACATATTTAAATATGTAATTATTATTTATTTAAATATAAATATAATTTTATTAATTGAGATACATACTTCTACAACCTTCCTCAGCTCCCTCTGCTTTGCTTTAATTTCTTCTATAAAAACCTGGCAACCATAATAAATACGTATAAATTAAAATCTAAGAAAATCATAACTAATTAATACATCAGTTAATAACAGATAAATTAATTTGTAGCTGAATGATCACTACATAAATAACATAGGTGATAATAATCATCAACTCTGAAAACAATTTTTCTTTGCAGCCTGGGAGGATTTTTTTTCACATTTACATTCTCCTTAATTTCCTCCTTCAGCTGTGTCAAAGTTAGTTGATTTTTAAGTCAAATTTTCTTCAAAGAAAATTCTTCTTAATGAGCACAACAGATTAACAAATATTGATACTTCAATAGTTACTGTCAACCTCAATTTGAAGTTTACCAGCAACACTTATACACTAAAAATGATATCTCATCAGACATTTTGGTTTATGTTATCACTGACTATTTTTACAAGTTGTGCTGTATTTTTGACAAGCTTGGAGTGCGAGTCAAAATACTAACCAAGAGTAATATAAAAAAATTAAAACTTCTCTGCAGTCTTAATGATCTGAGGAGTTGCATGGTCTTAAAAAAAAAAAAAAAAAACAATGGAGATTTTTTATATTAATTCTATTGGTTGTTTTGCATTATTTATCTGTTTGCTGATCAAAATTTTACCAACACACAATATCGTGGAGGCTATTGCAAGAGATCCATTTTGAGAAACAGAATACCCCTACACAGCTTTTTAGGTTGGTATCTTTGGAGTCTTTGGATCAAATTTCAAGGCAATCCATAAAGTTCACACACCCTATTAATTCCTTCAAAGAAGGCTCATTCACCTAAACACCAAGTAGTTTATTTTTGCTCCCAAAGTTTTCCCAGCAATTCATGCCTTTGGGTGACCATGTCAAGTTATGTCAACACTCTGAAAAACACTAAATTCCAACCACCAATAGAAACATAGAAGTGTCCTGCAGAGTCTCAGGAGACTCTGATCAAAAATGTATTTTGCGGGTAACTATCTAACAGTTTTCTGAGACAGACCTTTTGTTCAATTCTGCTAAACAGCGGTTTTGATTTTGACTTTTTTTTTTTCAAACTTAAAAGTGGCTTAAGCATGTTACTTTCAATCTTGTGAAATTCACCACTGATATTTATTGACTACATAAAAGTTACGTACGTAGGTGTTTTGTTGGTTCCTTGGTTCACCTTCAGGAGTTCTCTTCCGGGAATCTGTTGCCATGTCTACAATGACAACTATTGTTAAGTAGTAGAAACTAATGATTTTTGCACTATTTAAGTGTGGAATCTTCCTACAGTCACAGGTATTCTTTGATCTTTTAATTGGTGGTAATATATATTGTACACCTATGATGTCTGCTCCTGTGGCAAACAGTTGGTTTTGTTTTCCTGGGCCTCAAGGTTTCTCATGTGCATATATGATAGAGGAACTTTTTCTCTTGTAAACACTGCCCATGTACTATCTTTAAAGTAAAAAAAGGGAGACTTGAAAAAAATTATCACTCTTTGGTCAAATTATTGAACAAACAACACACCAGGTAAGCATCTCTTTTTTCCTGTCTTCCCCTTCATTTACTAAAACTGATCATGGATCAAGTCAAACTGGCTTTGTTGAGATAACTTTCAATTGATATCAATTTATTTGTAGTTACTTACCTTCGTCCATTGTAATTTTAATTTCTTGTCCTCTTTTAAGAGGTAATGAAAACTCTAAAAAAGAAAAGTCATGTTTAAAATTTAGCTCCAGGTTTCCAGATATGAAATGACTCAGGCTTAGGTCTAAACAGAGAAAAAAGAAATGCACAAAGAAAAACAAATAGGTCTCAGAGCAACTTTAAAAGTCAAATGCTTTAATTATGATAATCATAGCTACACATATTATTAAACTTCAAGAATACTCATTGAATACTTCACAAGTAATTTTGAATGAGGAAAAATTATGAGAGGTTTTGGACTACATTGTAGCTCCTTTCTGTCAAAGATGTTGATATTCTGAACTCTTTTTAAGAGTTTTTGAAATAATAAATTCATAATAAAGTTACAGCCAAATTGTTTTTGGTAAAAGCTTACAAGTACAAGTGAATGACTGCAGTTGATCACATGTTCGATCGAATGTACAGTATATTTCTGTCGAGGAACTCTTGATTGCAGTTCCTGAATCGATGCCATATCGAGTTTAGCTTCATTACTAAAATTGGAAATTGTAAGGGGTAAAGCTTAAGATTATTTTAAGATTCCTTCAACTGTGCAATGTACTTTTCTAAAATAAGAAATTATTTTTGCCGAACATGGTGAACGTATTCCGCTCACTAACATCGGAACAGACTCTTTCTGCACAGTTCCATAGAAAAAAGGTTTCGTTATCTTAATGAATGAGACATCGTGACATCACATTGGAACGAGTTCTAAGGTTGACTATAAATCTAAACATCAGATGAATTTTTTTGAGCTTACAGTAGTGCACGGTTGGAGAGAAGGATCTGATCTGGTAGAATTGCAACAACTTACCCAAAAGAAAGTCTGGATATTCTGCAGTTTAGCCCTTCGAAATATTAATTTAGTTTACAAACAGCGATTGAGGACAGTTGGGTGGAAGTCAGTGCTCTCAGTGAGAACTACTTCCTAGATGACCAGCTATCCAATTGGGTAAGTTTCTAAAGAAACTGTGGTGCTGCGTCGGTGGGAGAGTATAGCAGGTAATTTTGTGTTAACAACTGGGTTGAAAACGTAAATTAGCCCTTAGTCAGAGCGATTTCGCAAACTTCAGACCGACAATCGTGTTCCAATCGTGTTCCATGACGTCACTCTAAGTCAAGAAAATATATAATGACTCTTTATTGGTTAACCCCTTTAGCCGATTCTTTCGTCAATTGTGATTGGTATGAGTTGGTAATTTATATTCATACTAACGAACAAGATGGTGAACAATCTGATTCCACGGTCAACTTTTCAGACAACAGTGATTTACGACGAGGATTTAAAGCAAGTTTGCGCGACTTTTAGGATAGAGGCATTTTAAGAAGAACAGCAGAAAGAAATAGATATGTTGGTAAAATTTCCGCACAGCCCCATACTATTGTTGAACAAATTTGTTTTCCCAATGGCAAAGTATTGTTTTTGACAGTTTTCTCTATCAGTGACACACTCGGCTGCGCCTCGTGTGCCATTTTTTTGTTCTTACCACATTTTGACGTCATCTGTGATCTATTACTGAACAGACGCAAATCCATTTGTTAATGTGCCGCCCGTTAAAGCTCTAACAAGAGACCTGGTGCACTATCTTAATGTATTTGGACCATGAGGATTGTTCGCCTTCAACCTTCGGTCTCTTTGTGAACGGTGCTGCGAAGCAAAATTAAAGCTAGTTGTTTCTTGCAGCGATCTTTCGACCGAGAGAAGAGTCGCTCTTTCTTCACGCTTTCAGCGTAATCATCTCTGAAAGAAATCTGTGAAATCTTTGAGATTCTGCGGCAAATGATTCAATTCTTTTCTACGACCGTGGCACTGTTTACAAATGCAAGCAGAAACCGCGTGAACGTTGAAATCTAGTTTCGTAAGCGTCATGCTAATCGAACATCATCCTCTTCTTACTCTATATCAGAAATTGCTCATAATCTTTTCCTTTATCTTAGAGCAAAGTATACATCTGAACTCGGACGCTGAATTGCAAATTTACCCGAAAAATGGAAAACGAATTCACTTCAAAGTTGTTTATCTCGATGACCTTCACGCTAACACGTGTAACTTCGCACAGAAATATTATCAAGTGACATTATTTTGCATAAATTAGAGTGACGTCACGGAACACGATTAGTGTCAGGTTTGCGTAGATGTTCCCTCGCTTCCGTTTCACCATTGGGGGAGGGCACCTTGGCTAGACCTGGAGAATTTTTCAATATTTTACAGTAAAATTAACCTGATTTCCCCATCCAAGGTTCTTTGATATTCTAATAATCCCCTGTTATTGACAGTTAAGTGACAGTCAATTTCAGTGACTACTGATCCCCCTTTACTCCCCCTGAAAACCACGTAATCCCCTTCTTAGAATCTCTCCCCAGGGTAAAAATAAAGCACTGCGTGATAGGTAAGCCACTGAATAAAAGAAGAAAGGATGGAAGAAGAAAGTTGATGTTTACAACTTGTAAACTCTACTTTATATTTTCCTTAGATCTGTGTGCTCTATCTGGTCTGCTTGCAGATTAGCGATTAAAAAGTAAACAAAACACAACACACAGAGAGATAATCTCATTTCCAGTCAATATATATTATTTACATCATAATAGCAAAACATGCATTGGGGTGTACATTGCACCTCAGAACTCAAAAGTTGTTCATTACAGTTTTCACTATTTACATATCCACTTCTGACTTCACCAGATCTTTACCACGTACCATATAATGGGCAAAGCCCCTCTCAAGTAGGCTATTATAACCAAAACAAGAAGTACCTATGAATCTGTGACACTAAACTTTCACAAACACCCTGATTATTTGCAAAAACCAATGCTTAAGAGCTTGCTGAAGAGAGCACTAGTCTTGATTCTCTCATTGTACAACAGTTGGTGCTATACTCTGTTCTGGTCCCTCAATTTCTTGTTGTTCAAGCTTTGCTATTTCAGCCTTCATTTGTTGGATAGCATCTTTGCACACTTTCAATTTTTCATTCAACTCACTGATTTCTTTGCCAATCTTTTGACGAGCAGCACCTATAGAAGCTGTAGTTCTCTGTTCAATTTCAGCCCCTATAATGCAGAAAAAGACAAAATCCCAGATTATTGAATATCATGTCTGAAGTATCAACAGATATTCCCGCAAAACAATATTGAGAATGAGTATCCAGAATTTTTATCGGAATGAAAATTCTGAGTTATCACGCTGTAATATGATTGATGACTAAATGTCTTAGTTGAATTTTAATCAACCCTTTCACTCACAAGATCTCTTTACTGATTCTCCTGACTGTCTGCAACACATTGTTAACAATTTTTGTTCTTGAATTTAGTATAGAACCAGATGGTAATCCCATGATTGATATTTTTCTTTGTTGCCAGTGCTTGCTGTCCAGATATTGTATTTGATATTGTAAGGAAAAATTCTAACTTGGTCACTTGTGGGAGTGAAAGGATAAAGTACCCTGTAATTTCAATTTTATGCCGCTCAAAAAAGCAAAACAGCAAGTTAATCTGCCTTACCATATTTACCTATGCTGAACAGAACATTTATTAAAAGTTAAGCCAATCCATAAATGTGTTCTGGTCTTAAACCTTTTAACCCCTGCAAGTGACTACATCTACTTTCTCCTTACAATATCACCCCTGAATCACACATTACCGTTGCAAGAACAAAGGAAATGATCACAAACTAAAGAAGCTCTTGATTGTTGAACAAATTCTCCTTGTCAGTACTTAAGGAAATGTATAGAGAACAGGACAGAGAATATGCATGGCGATGTTGGGGTGTAAAGGGTTAATTCGGATGGAATGCATATAAGTCAAACTAGTACATTCAAGCCTGTATTATGCTGCAACATATCAAGCAGTCACCCCATATTGAGTGGTCTGTTGTCAAAGTCCTGAAGTCTTTTCCTCTGAGATACTGTCGGTAATAATTTTCACCTCTAATGAGTGGTGTTGTCACCCTTTACTGAGTCCTAATGGTCTATTTGTTTTGTCTTCCTTCATGTATCAACCCTTTAACTCCCAGATCAAAGTTGTAATTCTCCTCAATGTCAACCATACAATTCATATAATGTTATTTCAGAGAATTTAGTATTGGATCAACTAATTTTCTATAAATTGATATTTTTCTTTATTCTCATCACTTATCTGGTTGATATTGTATTGATATTGTTAGGAGAAATTCTGTCTTGGTCACTCATGGGAGTTCAAGGGTTAAACGGTCACTTCAAGTGAAACCACTCTAATATAACTAAGACTAATCTTTCGAATAAACACTAATCCATGTTCATCTCCCAAAATCAACATTACTAAGTAGTCTTTTTGAAGCAAGGTTTTGTACATTATGGAATCACATGGCATTTTTTAATTTATTCTTTTCCTTTTTATAACAACTCTATTTGGCGGAACTTGCATTAAGCAGTCAACCTGTATTTAGTGATCACCCTGCTTAATTCAATTTCCACTGCAGTATTATCTACCGGGTATTTTATTTGGCAAAAAATTTTGTCTTTCTTCATTCGTCTCAGAGAGGTAAGAAAAAACAACTCTACTCCATATATTACTTCCCATTCTTAAAAAATAAAAAAAAAAAACTAAAAAAATTGGAAAAATTCAAAAAAAGTTCTTACAGTCAGACTCGTGTTTTATGGGTTGTAACTGTCTTGCACTGAGTAAACATTGATGCATCATCTGTGTGGGGTCCTGGAAAATCTACAGAAATACATGGATTAAGACATTCAACCAATTGGAAGAGAAAAACATAGCCAAACACATATGTCCTACTTACAACTTCATCATAGAACTCAGAAACCAATTGTTTTTTTCCAGAGGCAAGTGCAGATTCTGTTTGGAAAAGCTTCAAAAGGTGATAAAATGTAACCTGCAGAAAAAAAAAATCACAACACAAACATTTTTTAACTCTGAAACTAAACACCAGAAGAAACTTCATACAAAATGTAGGCATTAAACAAAAATGATTTACAAAATGTTCTTTGATGTGTTGATTAAATGCGATGCAGAGAAACCATGAACCACTCCTGGATGTTTCAGACACCCAACCTCCTATTAGTGATGCAGGTGTAAATGTGTATAATTATGCATAAATGTGCAATGATATAAGAATTAGTGACATTTCGAGAAGATTTAACAAGACAGATCATTATTTTAGAAGCTACAGTTTTGTAAACACTTTGAGGTCTACATAGAAAGTGTACTAACCGGTCTTTCACTTTGGTCCATAAAAAATATTTTGATCTGTATTTCAAATTCTCCCCAACCTGACTCGTTCACTTCATATGGAGGCTTTGTAACCACTGTGTATAAAAACATAACAATATTTCATGCATAGCAAATTTAAAAGGGAAAACTTCAAATCTCTCTTCCTATGTACAAGGTCTCTGGGAAATCTTGCAGTTTTCACAAAATGAGAGAAAAAATTCATGTAAATTCTTGCACCACAAATCAGTTTGAGCCTTAACCCTTTAAACCCTGAGAGTGACCAACATCTAGTTTCTCCTTAGAATAATACTGCTGAATCATTCATGTAAAATCATCAGAATAAAGGAAATGATCACCAACTCAAGAAGCTCTCGATTGTTAAAAAAATTCTCCTTGTCAGCACCTTAGGAAATATTTAGAGAACAGTATGGAGAATATGCATACTGATGTTAGGGCGTAAAGGTTAATCAACTATCACATAAAAGCTCTTTATCCCCTCCTCTAATTCTAAAGCCTAACAAAAAGAAAAAAACTATCAAATCAAATTGCTAAAAAGATAAACGCTTCTTCAATTTAAGTATTTATAACAAAATGGGGAAGAATTTAACCCCTTAACCCCTAATGGTGACTAGAATCTAATTTCTCCTTACAAGTATTACCACTGAATTACACATTAATGTCATGAGAATAAAGGAAATGATCCCCAACTAAAGAAACTCCTGATTGTTAGACAAATTCTCCTTGTCAGCACCTTAGTAAATGTACAGAGAACAGTATGGAGAATATGAGTGATTTTTCACAGAAGAGCTAGAGTTTTACAAAGAATATTATGCTAATTGATTGTCCAACTGAGGTAAAAGCTGCTGTCATGTTATGGTGAATATCTCATATCAGGTGATAAAGCAGCCAAGAAATGTTTTAAAAGTTTTTTGGAAATGTAAACAAGTATAAGTATACTATATGTACACCATATACATTTAAATAAGAAAAGGTTTCTCAAGGAAGAGAGTAATACATGTGCTGACAGCTCATTTGTTATTGGCAGCAGGGAAAAAAAAAGCCTCAACAAAAGCCTACAAATTTACACTAAAAGCTGAAAAATTATTTTGAACTCTGAGTATCTGTGTGTTGTTACATCTCTCTGTCCAGTTGTGAATCTATACAGCTTTGATGGTAAGATTTCCACACAGCCCTATACTTTATCATGCATACAGTTCTTGGATAAAGAAAACAATAAATTGTCTTTGAGATTATGACTTTGTTTGACAATAGTATGGGGCTGTATGGAAATCTTACTGCTTTGATTTATGTATCCATCAACATGTAGCAAAAACAATAAATTGTCTTTAGGATTATGACTTTGTTTGACAATAATAATAATAATATAATAATTTAACTCTTATATTGCATGCTTTCCATGAAATGATCAAGCATGCATTACATGATTTCTATCTATAGCAATTTAATACAAGGTATCTAACTGATAATTATTTAAAATATAAAACATATGTTAAGATACTAGTAATTATCGTGATAAAAATGAATAAAAAGCTTCCTTAATTTAATACAGGGTATCTAACTAATAATTATTTAAAATATACTATGATAAAATTAAAATATACAATAGATGTTAAGATACTAGTAATTTTCGTGATAAAAATTAATAAAAAGCTTCCTTAAAAAGGTGCATTTTCAAATGGCACTTAAAAATCCCTAGATCTGTAATAGAACGAATCTCACGCGGTAATAATAGTATGGGGCTGTATGGAAATCTTACTGCTTTGATTTATGTATCTGTCAACATGTTTCTTTTGTTTATGTATCTGTCTGTCCATCTTATACTCTGTCTTCCTGTTACATCAACCTTCATAGCGTCATCAATTCTTCTAATTTGTGGTTTGTTTAACCGTCTGTCTATCTGTGACCCTCTGTATGTCAGCAGTGTATCTGTCTACAGGTCTACCTCTGTTTATCAGTCGGTCATTGACTGTCTCTTTGTTTATCTTTCTCTTATAATCTCGCCATTATCCTTCGAATTTCTTACCTCTTAAGGGATTAGCATAACTTTCATGAAGTTTGAAGTGGACTTTCTTTACATAGCTGGACATGTCCTATAAAAAACAACCACATTTTGAATACTTCGATTATTCTTCTTGAGATGTAATTTTATTTTCAATACTTCCATAGTTCTATTTGAGATATAATCAACTGCCTTTTCAGAGCCACTGGCGAGAAATTTGGCAGACGTACGAACCTCGTTTTTGAAAGGGCGAAGAAAAACTGTCCAACCATGAGTGTGGCCGTCGCTTTCACGTTTCTTTCCAAAGTAATGAGACACATTTCCAAATATTACAGGTTTTATGACTGTGACACCCTTCAGGGAACAAAAAAAAATGCAGTATTTTCAATTAAAAGAGAAAGAAAGCTAAGGCTTATTCTACCAGAAAGTTAACAAACCTTTACTCTGGCATTATCACCGGATGACGCCATATTGTTTCTGTCAGTGCTGATTATCGCGGGCGTACACCACGTTTAGCATCTTTGTTGAGTATGTGTAATAAAGTGTATCCGTGTGTAACGAGAAATGCAAACCGTGATAAAATTTAAAGATTCTGAAGTCAGAAGTCGGAATTCCCTCTTTGGCTTTCGTGCAAACATTCGTAAGGCGTGCCAAAATTCGTGAGTCCCTTTTGAGAATTCCTGCCAACCCCCTTTTTTATTGTCGAAAGAAAAAGGTCCCAAACCTTACGGGGAGCGCGTGGGATAGTGGGGTGGGGGTGGAGAGGGGGGGTATTCCCTTGTTTGACCAAATCGAGTATATACCCGCTCAGTAGATTGAACAGACTATAAAGTCGTTATTCTATGTAATATCTCTTACAGGGTGTATTTGGGAACTGAAAGTCATGAAAGGATGTGAAAGTTGCCAAAGTGCAGTTCGTATGTTGATATGATTCTTGTTGCGCCAAAAATAACATGTTTTATTTTTTCAAGAGATTACAAACGGTTATTAACGGCTGGATCGAATTAGGAACCTTTTCCACGGAAATTCCAAACGTAATTTACGTGTCAGCTCAGAATTTTTATCGTCTCTTGTTATGACACCTTCCAAATTTTGATAAAAAAAAAAACTTTCCGCGTTCGGAGATTGAAATGTCGCAGTTTGCTTAACGTTCGTTCATAGATGTTATTTTTTTTAATGTTTCGTACGTTATTCGTCTCCGAATAAGCTCTAGTACTGGCGACAACATTATATTACAAGAAAAAAACTTAAACTATTCTGGCTACATCCAACTCTTTGAATTGCCTCCTAAAACTTGTGCTATATAACCTCTGATAAAATGTTAAGTCAAGATGCTCGTTATCTGTTAAACGTCACCGCATGCAAGAATTGACTGCTGTAATATCACCCAGCGGCCACGCACGTCTTAAAACTAGTAAAATAAACAAACTGACTCACTCATGAATCACTATTTTTTTTCCTTTTTCTTGACGTAAGCTCGTTGAATAGTACAGTGAGTTCTTCGAGAATTTGGATAAGAATAATTTTGGGAAGTTTTCGTTGACAAAGCCATCTGGCGGTTGTAAGGCAATGGGATAAAAATATGTCTTCAGTAAGTAATGTAGCTTTAAGGCTCAAATACGCCATTCTCATAAATTCGATATACCGACAGGTGCAAGAGCAGTTCTAGGTACATATGTTAAGAGGTGAAAATTGAGTTATTCTAAGAATAGAACTGTTCTATCGGAGCAATTTTTGATTGAGCATCCAGAGTAATCCGGCATCGCATTGGTTTTGCATTTCTTCGCACCGTGATTGGTCCAGAAAACTCGCACCAATCTCTAAACCGATCTGATGCAAAAAGAATACGATTCAAGACTTGGTCGCCCGCGTTTTCCCGCGCTTCACGCTGTTTGGTTGTTTTTACTCTGAATTTTTATTGGCCCCTTAAAGGTATTTTCCTTTCCCCAGATTGGCGGTTGAGATTACGCTACCACACTCTGCCAAACATGTTAAGAATCTCCCGGAATTTTCCTAAGAACGTAGCCGAATCCAATTCTGATTGAATAAAGGGGGTAAGTTTCTAAAGAAACTGTGGTGTTGCGTGGTTGGGAGAGTATAACAGGGTAATTTTAAATCGTGATGATGGCGGTTTACTACCTGACGCCTATTTACACCTCGACAGGAAAAAGGGCAGCTAATTAGTATGCATATGAAAGGACCTCCTGTTGCAGCGATTCGATCACCCTTGATGGAAGCACTAGACGGGATTGTCGAAACGTTGGGTCTATGAAATTTAATTTTTCTCGATAAAGTTCCATTCTTCCAAATTCTACCAAATCATGTGCTCTGCAAAGTTTTCCTTGATAAGTGTTCACGAGAGATTACAATCTCTTGGTGTTCATGTTCAAAATCTGGAACGCCAGTTATTTGTCGAGATAAAAACCTCGCAATACACCGCAAGGAATACTTGCGGACGGGAGAGCTTGTTTCTGCAAAAGGCATTTTTTTTAGTAATCGGTGAGCGAAGTCGATAAATTACGACCTGATAGAACTTGAGATATACGAAAGCAATTGGAAAGCATGTGAAATTTGTCAGCCCTTTCAAAGAATGTTCTCACTTGCTATTCACTTGAAACCTTCGACAAACGCATGCGCTTTAAAGCTTTGACAGCGATTCGCGACTTCACACGAAACAGCCCCGTGTTTTAATTAGAGTCTGTAGCTTGGCGCCTCAGTGAAAAATGTGTTACCAGAAGAAAAGGCCGGAACCACTTATGGCTGATAAAAATAGAAACCCGGATGGCTTCTGAAACTTGATGAAGACGCGTAAAATGAATCTGGTGTCAAATAGGGCTTCAACATGACGTTGAAAACTTTTTTTTGTAACTCCTTTGTCTCGTTAACAACACGGATTTAAGCGTCGATCAATTTGAAGCTTCCACAGTCCTTCCTCCTGGCAACCCCACAGGCATCTGTACCACCAGGGGT